ATTTGCCAATGTATAAATTAATATATATTTAAGGAGGCATGGTTGAGTTGCTAATATATAAATGAAAATATTTATAATGGCATGGTTGATTTACCAGTGCATAATTAAATTCCTATGTGTTTAGATGATTAAAATTTCAACTAAGGTTGTTGTATGTATAGGTTAGATTATGATTAGAATAATCTAGTACTTACAGGTTAGTGTATTATTTTATATATATTAATAAAATAATATTGGTGGAGATATGGATGATTTGTCAAAGCTTAAATTTTGGATATGTAATTTAAACAATCAAAAGTATTACTGGTTTTTGGATTTATTGAATTATTCCCTTAATTGTAATTTATTGCTTAAATAATTAAATTACTGTATAGGATAGGATCAAGGTGAGTGGAGTTTACTTTATAAAAAAATTATAAATGGGGGATTGGTCTAGGTATGATTAATAATTAATCATTGGTGAATGATTTTGTCAATTTAATGATCCTATTAACCGATAGGATTATTGTACAATATATATATATAAGTATTTATATATATTTACAGCATCGTAAATTAAAGTTAAAGCTTTATTAGGGATGGTTTTGGTAGAGATGATCTGTTTATTGGTTTTCAAAGGCTTGGTAGAGAGAGCTTGCTAGTAGGGTTTAACCCGCGATTTGTTTTTTAGGTTATTAGAAGTTCAAGTCTCAAGGTTGAGGATCGAAAAGGGCAATTGTCTTGTTAATTGGTATTGTTTGTGCAAACAAGATGGTGAGTCAGTTGCTCACATTCTAATACATTGTCCAATAGCGACGGATTGTTGGAATCTTATCTTTTGTCTGTTTGATATGCATAGGGTTATGCCTCGTTATCCTAAGGATTATGTTTGTATATGGAGTGGATGCCGTGTGAGTAGCGCTGTTCGCGATTATTGGAGAGTTGTACCACATTGTGTTTGGTGGTGCATTTGGAAGGAGAGGAATAGTAGAATGTTCGAAGGGAAAGAATCGTCCACGGCGAGTCTGAAACTTCACATCATACGCTCTCTTTTCAGTTATGTGAAGAGGAAGTCCTGTTCTTCTTCCGAAGATTTAATTATTTTTTTGGCTTCTTTGGGATCTTAATCCCTAGTTCCACTTTTGTATAAGGGATGCGTTCCCCTCTTGAACGCCTTTTTTATTTCAATTATTACTTATAAAAAAAAAAGGTTAAGGATCCGCAGTTGGAGGATTTATCCATTCTTTGTGTTTATTTAAAAGTAGGATATTATTATTAGTTCATTTGATATTAGTATTTTTTTTCTGAAATTCTGGATAGTAACTGATAGGGAAAAATATAAATCTATCCTACCCTCGATAAGATTGATTAGATTTCATTATCAAGGATAATGAAATCAAATCTGACGTGGTTCAACAAGTAAGAATAATCCTACTATAACTAGAGGAGGTTAAAAGGATTAAATCATATCCCGACAAATCTGGTAATAAATCTCCTATGATTTTGCACAAGCGGAAGATAAGGTCAACTATCGATATCAGCGGAACGATTTTGATTCCAATCGACAGCCATAAATAGGGCATCAAGCCATTAAAGAAGGTACGACGTAAAAACTATTATGAATCCCTGCCTTCTTTTTAGACATCCGTGGCTAATTTGATCGTCGGAGATCTCTTGGCAGGCACCACACCGGTGCTGTCAAGGTTCATCGATCTTCTCCTCTCTTCCTTGCAGGAAAACGGTATCATATCGGACTGCGCGAATTTCAGCCTCAACAATTGGCGCCGTCTGTGGGAATCACGATTCCCTTGAATCAATTAATTACTCGTTGGGTATATACGTTTGCAGTCCGGTATGGTTACCGAAGGAACACCGTCGCAGGGATCTGGTCAAAGGGTAGAGTCGGGTGAAAACCTAGACGTCCCAAACGACCAGGCACGGCTTGCAGCATTGGAACTACAGGTTCAAACTCTGAGTCAGGGTATGAACCAGTTGATCCAACAAAATGCAACGCTCTTGCAACACATTGTTCCACCGGCTCAACAAAACTTACTGTGGAGCAACAAAAGGAAGAGTCGATTCGGGAATACATCACCCGATTCAACGCAGAGATGTTGCAGGTAGAAGAGGCGGACGACAAGGTAGCTTTGACCGCTTTCATAGGAGGACTCCAAACCTCCAGATTCTTGTTCTCCTTATCAAAAGAACCTCCCACCAGCATGATAGAGTTGTTAATCAGAGCGCAAAAACACATCAACGCTGAAGACACGATGAGTGCACGGAAGGAAGGAGAGGACAAGAAGAGGCCAGCCCCTCTCGTCAGGGATGAAAATAATACCAAATATAAGAAATCGTTCTTTAGCCAGAGTGACAGCACATATCATGAGAATGACTCAGATGAGTATACCGACTAGAAATTGTCTCGCGGCTAGAATTAGCCTTATCAAGTCATTCACAATAAAGACTGGGGGCATCTCAGTTAATCAGTTTAAATGAAGGGTAGCTCCATCACGTGTTATTTTTTGTTTTTAATAATGATGGTCTTTAATAAAATTCCTTTTAGTTTATACGTGCAGTATCCCCGTACTATAAGGGATAGTAAATGAGTGTCCTGTATTACAAGGACCCGGGCTGAATGAATCCCGTAATCCGTATCCCCGTACTATAAGGGATAGTAAATGAGTGTCCTGTATTACAAGGACCCGGGCTGAATGAATCCCGTAATCCGTATCCCCGTACTAAAAGGGAATAGTAAATGAGTGTCCTGTATTACAAGGACCCGGGCTGAATAAATCCCGTAATCCGTATCCCCGTACTAAAAGGGAATAGTAAATGAGTGTCCTGTATTACAAGGACCCGGGTTGAATGAATCCCGTCATCCATATCCCTGGACTATAGGGGATAAGTATCTTGTATTATCAGGACCCGGGTTAAATGAATCCCGTAATCCATATTCCTGTAATATAAGGATAATAAATGAATGTCCTGGACTACAATGACCTGGGTTGGATGAATCTCATAATTAATATCCCCTTACAATAAGGGATAGTAAATAAAAATCCTTTATTAAAGAGGTGAGCTGGGTAAAACTCGTAAAGTTCAATTCCCTTACTAAAGGGACGAAACTCGTATAATTTATTCCCTTATAAAAGGAAAAGTACTGTTCCCTCAGGTAAAAAAAAAAAACCCTGAGCTACTATTCACATGAATAGTACCCGCGGGTACTATTCACCGGGGTTGAAAAAAAAAAAAAAAAAAAAAAATTATTATTACTATTCATGAACAGTACCAGCGGGGATACTGTTCATGCACAGTACCCGAGGGTCTGTTCTATCGGGTAAAAAAAAAAAAAAACTGTTCATGAACAGTACCCCGAGGGTACTGTTCCCTCGGGTGAAAAAAAAAAAAAAAAAAATTCCCTAAGTTACTATTTATGTGAATAGTACCCCCGGGAATAGTACCCGTAGGTATTGTTCACCGGGGTTGAAAAAAAAAAAAAAAGTATTATTATTATTTATTACATTCCCAAAGCTAGACGTGCAAGCTTGGGAATGGGGGGCAACTGATAGGGAAAAATATAAATCTATCCTACCCTCGATAAGATTGATTAGATTTCATTATCAAGGATAATGAAATCAAATCTGACGTGGTTCAACAAGTAAGAATAATCCTACTATAACTAGAGGAGGTCAAAAGGATTAAATCATATCCCGACAAATCTGGTAATAAATCTCCTATGATTTTGCACAAACGGAAGATAAGGTCAACCATCGATATCAGCGGAACGATTTTGATTCCAATCGACAGCCATAAATAGGGCATCAAGCCATTAAAGAAAGTACGACGTAAAAACTATTATGAATCCCTGCCTTCTTTTTAGACCTCCGTGACTAATTTGATCATCGGAGAGCTCTTGGCAGGCACCACACCGGTGCCGTCAAGGTTCATCGATCTTCTCCTCTCTTCCTTGCAGGAAAACGGTATCATATCGGACTGCGCGAATTTCAGCCTCAACAGTAACTTTTGGTTAAGGGGTCCTTGAGTTACGGGATTCCCGAATTGTAACCATTGGAGAGTTATTAATGGATTCACTATTTATTAGTTTTCTTCAGCGTATTATTTTATTCTTTATTTCATTTTGTAATCTATGGCTGTTTGAAATACTTTAATTGTTTTGATATCCCTTAATTTTGTGTGCGGATTTGATCAATCCGTGTTCCGAAATTAGGGGGTATCACATATCCATATAATCTGATTCGGTTTTGGGTCCTGACATTAACATATGGATCTGGTTTTGGATTCACATAAATCTGCTCCATTTCGAGCCATAGACACCAAGTCATTGTCTCTCATAGTTTCATGTCGTAAATCTAAGTTCAAGATGACAATACTTGGTACTATTTTTGGAAGCACCTCTGCATTATACATGACACTGATGTACCTTCATTTTTTTTCTTCCTGTTTTTTTTTTTCCCCCCATGAAAGTTCATTCTATTCATCTGCTCCGTCTTTACAATCAGTATCTGTTGTCCTACTCGTCAAGTTTCAATGACAATACAACCTGGTCTCAAACCCTTTCTTAATTCACAAATCCCAATTTTTTATAACTTTAGACCCTGATTGTGGAAAAGAAATAAAATCAAATACTTGAATCCTTCAAAAATACTAAAAACTTTACCTAACTACAATTACATAGTCCATTTACACAAATCTCCCACATAGATTCCATTAAATATGTATGAAGGCTACAAACCATATATATGGAGGTGGGTTCCAACTTCTGTTCTTTATTTTCATCATTTCCAAAAAAGACTCGAACCCTCAAACTTCAACAAGACATAATTCAAGTCCCTACACTTCACATCTCATAGCAAGCTTAACTGCTTAAGTAACATTTTCTATCAATCTGTTGTACTCATCTTATGACCTAAATGTCACCATGAACAATATAAAATGCCATGGGAAGTAGTAGCTTGTAAAAATTTTGAATTGGCGAAACATAAGACTTTTTTGGAACTCACCTGAGCATTGTTACTGAAAGATCACCACAAGCATGAAGTCCAGCAAGAACTAATGGAGAATCGCCATCTGCGCAGCACGAAAATTTTCTCTCACAGAGCCTATCTTGAGGAAGTCCAGCTATTTCTTGTATAATCATAGTGGGCTGCTCAACATCATCCTTTTCTAACAAGGATTTACTCAAAGATTTCAATGTGGCGGTGGACAAAACACGGCAAGTGATTGTCTTAGGCATGTTCAAGTTTGTGTCTTCCGATCTAACAAAAAAATAGATACCATCAGAAAATGTAAGGCATGAAGAATACATCTCAATTCTCAATTGTAATACTGAAAATTGAATATCCATGCAGCCATAGAGTAACTGAGGTCTATTTATAGCATAGCAATAAATGCAACTTACAAAAATGATAGATTTTAAATTGCAGTTGTGGTTGTGATCATGGTAATGTGGATGCAGATTGCAATGGTTACACAGTGGATGCAGACATTGGAAGTTAGGGGCTTAAATGTCAAGGGACTACCCAGTATCTAGTTGAGAAAATAGGAGATAGATTTGTTAGTGAATATGCAAATTCTAAAATGTAAAGAAGCCAACTTTGTCCTTTAATTCAGGTAAACATGACGGCATTAGAGTCATTTTATATCTAAAAGCAAGGGCAATATTGTCTTTACATTCATTATAAGGGAAAAACGGGTGTATTTGAATATGTACTTGCTGACGTCAGCAAATTCCATATTTAACCATCACTCAACTTTAACGGAGGAGAGGCTTATGTAACAATATGTATACCTCAAGGGAGGTTAGAGGATTTTTGGCGTGCCTATTTTTGCCTAAGGTCAATGTAACTATCCCAATTTTATACAACAGTTTAAATCATTGAGTGGATGAAATACTTCTTGCTATTTTATCTTTCATCATTTTTATCACAAAGATATTATTTATAAGAGTTATCAACATTATAAACGTATTTGGTAGGAATTTTTTGTTATCCATATTTTTTAATAAAATATTAAATTACAAACCTAAGAATAAATATAAAGATTAAATAAAAATAAAACTGAAAAAATAAATATATAAAAAACGAAAACTAATATTTTCACTAACAATAGAATTTTAATTTCTAAATAACTGAAAAAATATAACTTAACTACCAAAAAGCAGAACATGGAATCATAAGAACTAGGTTAGATAATAAATTTAACCTTAAAAAATATAAATAAAAAAAAGTGAACATATTAAAGAGGTACATGTTTTATCTTACAGATTACTTGATTCAAGATCTAAGCACCGGTTATAAACAATTCGATCCTACAAGAGTAAATTTTGAAGAGGGTTGTGGACAGGGATGGAAATCGGGCAGGCCTTTCAATATTAAGACAAGACAGAACACTATCAAACAGTTGCAATCATTACAACTTTGAATTTCATTAAGAATAATAGTGTGTATCATAATGATGAGTCGCATCTGTTTGTAAAACCATGAGCTGAGTGGCAGGACTTTAACTATTCATGAGTCCGGCTATAAGCGCCTCCTACAACAACCAACTCAATGGATAGTGGAGACAAGACTTATCAACTACATGTCGTGATCAAAAGCAAAAAAATTATTAAAAAGACAAAAGGTAGTATATTTATAAATATAGTACCATGTGACCAGTTGATCTTTAGGATAGAACTTCAAACTGAAATTATGAGATAAAAAAGATTATATGTATAACCAATTCTTGTGGTGATTGGCAGTGGCCTTCTCTTCAAGCCAACCAATGCCATTTCAACCCAACCACACCTCATAAGCCCCATCATCTCTGCCACAGACCAAAATCCTCTCATGTCCACTGTGGCATCCAGACCACTAGGGAATAGTGAGAATCAACTCACAGTGGGCCCCATGCGGCTGGTGGAGTACACAGTTCCCAGTGCACCGAAGAGGATTTTGTTCCCTCTGGCACCACTAGGAAACCTCTAACCAATCAACCTCTCTAGCCCAGTAACCATTGTACCACCACCTAAGAAGTATGGAAACGGGTACGGGACACGGATACAACACAACGCGGATACGGCGACACGACAAATCCTAAAAAACACGGCGGGGACATGGCAAATAAGAAATATATTTTCTATATATATGATGTTGTACTTTAAGAAATTAAGAGTAATGTTAGTTTTTACAATCTCATAATGAAAAAAAATGTGTTTTGCTGGAAAAAAGATTGAATGATAGAAAGAGGGTTGAGAAAGAGACAGAGAGAGAAAAAAAAAAAGAGGATTAGGGTTTTGTTAAAAAAGAATTAGGCCTTAGTTAAAATTAAAGGTAAGAAACCATAGAAGAGAAAAAAAGTTCATAGGGAATAGAGGAAAAAGGAAAAAGAGACAAAAAGAAATTTATTGTGAAAGGAAAAAAAGAAGTATTTAGGGTTTGTGAAGAACACGAGGAAAGAAAGGAGGAGGACGAAGAATGAGAGAGAAAAGAGGAGAAATAGATAGAGAGACCATTCACCGGTAGCGAAGCTTGGTTAGTGGGACAACAAGAGAGTCAAAGATGATTGTGCAAGGGTTCAAACCTTTGAACTAAAATATAAGAATAAATATCTAATTGTTTGAATATAAAATTGTTTTATGAAACAACAAGTTTTTAAGTAATTATGTAATTGAACAACTCCTAATATTTACACTTCAACTTAACATTGTTCTAAAACTTTCTTAAAAATCCCCTAAGAGTGGGACACACGTGTTAGACACGTATCCATGGCATGTCGGAAGCGTGTGCGTGTCCATATATTCGAAAGAACATAAAATATATGGACGCATATTTTCGTGTGTCCGACACGTGTCGGGGCGTGTCCGACACGTGTCGGGGCGTGTCCGGCATGAGTCGGTGTCCGACACATGTCCGACATGGATTCTTTGCCCTTTTAGGCATGTCCATGCTACCTAGACCACCACTAACTACAAGCTCCATTGTTTTCAGTTGCTCACCACACAAACAAAAACAACTTCACCAGTGGCTCACCACCTCGCTCCACCTAATTGAACCATAACAGCCACCATCGCTTTGTTATTACCTGCGAGTTGCAAAGATGGTGGCATGATGAACATGGCGGTGATACTTGACGTTAGCAAGTGAGGAGAAGGTGATTGCCTGACAGAATCAGTTGGTAGTTCTGGTCAACAGAAGTGCTGCTGGTGGATGTGATATTGAGAGGGAGATATAAAGGGAGGAAGGAAGGTTGATGGGAATGTTGATGGTTTCCACAAATAGAGGTGAAGGTTGCTGGCAGTAATTCCAATGCCATGACTGGCCAATGTTGGGCTTAGATGAGAGAGGAATATAGGTGAAGAAGAGCGCTAACATCTACTAAAACGTGAATGATTTTCCACTAAATGGTACTTACAAAATACAGGGCTAAACCCATCCACTTGACAGGTCACCGGTCAGTGTAGTTTTTGGGAAGGAAAGGTGGCTTGTTATTACAAACCCCAGTCTCAAAGTTGATAGAACCATAGTTACAAACCTACAGTAAACTGTCTGAACCAATTAGGAAACCTGTTCCTCTGTAATGGACCCACAAAATGATGGGCCCAACCCATAGGCACGACAGACATAGATACTGCCATGATATCAAAAGTTACCCTCCTTTCCTTGCCCCCTCCCCTCCCCCCACTATTAGTCAGTGACCTGAAAAGGTACTTCAAATTTCCTCATGAAAGAGAAAGAGAGGGAAAAAAAACTTCACTTCATTCTTTTCCATACCCAGATTTACCCATCTTAGCGGCATAGTGTTTCCTGATTCGCTCTGCACATGAACTGACTGAACCAATTAGCCTGTTCCTCTGTAGTGGACCCACAAAATGATGGGCTCAACCCATAAGCACGAAAGGCGTATATACTGCCATGATCTCAAAAGTTACCCTTACTCCTTTCCTTTCTCCCTCCCCTCCCCCCACTATTAGTCAGTGACCTGAAAAGGTACTTCAAATTTCCTCATGAAAGAGAAAAAGAGGGAAAAAAATCTTCACTTTATTCTTTTCCATACCCAGATTTACGCATCTTAGCCGCATAGTGTTTCCTGATTCGCTCTGCACGTGTGCTTGTAATCCTTCCATGATGAGAACTTGCATCTATTGCAATTACCGGAAGCTGGTACTCAAAGGAAAGTACTTGTGCAAGATATCCCTAAAAGAACAATTTGGTCGATAGAGATGTCAAAGTGATGCAGAAAATGAGTAAAGCATTTCTTTTCCAGAAAAAAGGGAAATGCAACATAAACAAACAGAAGTGCATGGATTTTTCCGTGACAAAAGAAAGCAAATACTATTCTCCTTTTTTAACTCAAGAATGGACATTTATCGCATTCCCAATTATAGATTTTTAAAAATAGCAAGCACAGAGATACTAGCTACAAGCTAGAAAACATGATATTAAGGATTTAGAGACTAAGGAAATGATAAAATAGATAGATGAAAATTTTAAAATGTCAATGAAAAGATAAAAAAATACTATTACAAACATATGTAACACACAATTATACACAAATTCATGCAAGTAAATTTGATAAGATAGAATCCTAACAACATGCATTTAACAAGTGAGGATTTATACAGAAACATCAACATTCAGATCCTTTTGTTCTCATTTTTCCTTATGAAATGTATGTTTTATAAAACCAAAATTATTATTTAATGAAAAAAAACCAAGAAAATTTTGCAACACAATCTACTACATATGCCATAACGACCAACATTTTTCATGAAATGTTTAAAACCAATCCACTTTAAAAATATTTTTATGTACCATAAAAAAAGAAACAAATTATCAGATTTTTTGTAGATCTTAACTATCTTCAACAATTCTATGGCACAATCCTATAATCCAATGATCCTACGGTGATCTCCACCTCTCTGAGATTTTCATACAATCCAGATTGATTTGATAAGTTTGTATTAATAACCATGGACCAGATAGGCAGTTATCAATTCCACAGACCACTACACCCACAATTTTTTTTTTTTTTTTTTTCCGCATAGAATGCTTGCCACATATTACCAGAACCCCAATCATCTGAAGGCATGCGGAAATTAGATGGCAATTCTGACATAGCTTAGTTCTAAAGAGACACTGATCTAGATTGGATTTGATTCAAAAACGACAACAACAAGAACAATACCAAAACAGAAATTAGAGACTCAGATCTTCTTAAGATTCAGTATTACTTTCCCAAGTACCATACTACTTTACAGTCCAGACAAGGTGTATTAATGTGTTCAGTTTCCAAGAACAGCATGTTACATGAAACAAAATTACATGACAAACAAAGCAACAACTATTTGCTTGAATTATTTGCCGAAAAAAAGAAAAAAAAAAGAAAAGAAAAACTATTTGCTTGAATAGAGAGAAGTTCAAATGAGAAGGGGATGAAAGGAAATAATGGAGAACTAGTCAAGCCGTTAACAAATTAACATCTCACGGATAGCAACAGAAAGGCATAAGGAAAGAAATAGGTGCACCTGACCAGCACCAACATCAACTATAGTATGAGCTCCAACACTCCTTGCAATTGAATCAATAACAGCAGCAAGAGCTTCTACCTGTTCAAACATAATTACATAACTGATAAATTATCCTTTCAGATCAGTCATTTCAGAAAAAGGTAAAAAGTAGTAATGGAAATCAATTTTGTAAAATCTGGTGAGCATAATCATTTTATCTGAAGTCAAAATTGCCTGAATGATATCCCAAAGTTCCAAATGCATCAAAGGAAAATAGTTATTTTCTTTGGAAGACAACTGTTTGAACATGAATTAATTTTTTTTTTTTTTGCCTTCTGTCAGCAATATTTTTCCATGTAAATAATTTCAATATTTCCTTCACAGCTAACAGTGCCTATGTAAAACCCCATCTAACCGGATAACCATGATATCCAACTCAAAAAGTTTCTCCTTGGATGTCAAGTGTCAACCATCTTTCTTTAAACATCTAAAAGTCCGTGAAGTGAAAGGTTATGATTACTCAATTAAATTATCTTTTTCAAGCCCCACTGGTACCAAGCTGAATTGAAATAATTGGCTATTAATTATCTGTATCACATTAAACAGATGTCCAAGTATGAGGTTGTATATGTATTGCCTAATAAAATCTAGTTAAGATTCTGTTAGGAGAAAGAGGAAAAAAATGGGTTGCAATTCAGAAAGTAAACAATTTGATGACCTACTTCATGTTTTTTCTTCCAATTCATGCCTTGGGCAAGAACATTGTTAATTGAAGTCATGCACAGTTCTGGTAGTACCTGAAAAGAACCAAAAAGGTTACCCATGCTTGGTGTCTGCCTTGAAATACATACATAAAAGAGTAGAGATGGGAAAAAAAAACAAAATGAAAGAAAAGGCTAACGATCAGGTCCAGTAGTAAGCTACATGATGGTCTGAGATTTTTATAATCTATATCAACTAACAAAAACTACCATTGTTACTGATTGACTTCAACTTTTTTAACATTAAATTATTTGTATTTAACATAATTATTTAAAATATACCAACCAGGCATTAGGTAAATATAAACTTCAGAGTTTTACTATAAAGTAGCTGCAAAACAACACAATAAATAAATTTGACACACTGCAATTGAGATGCACTATAGAGTGAGAAAATGTTACATGAATATACTACTAATAGTAAAATCAGTGACAGGGAAAAAAAATAATACCCTTTGTAGATCTGCCTGTTCCCGAGGAAGTGCAAGAGAGCTTAACTTAAGAACAAATTCCTTAAGTGAAGCAGGCCAGTAATCCTAGAATCATGATTAAGAGATAATATTAGGACAACCAAAATTAGTTCCAATATTGATTAGACATAAAATAAGGAAATAAAGAAGTTAGCATCATTGCAAACATTAAATCACGGCACTCTCCAAATAAGATGAAGTAAATCAATGCCAGATAGAACTTTCATGTGGTTAATTTGGTGGTTAAAATCAAACTTTCGCAAAGTTCAAGGTATTCAGGAAAATTTCCACAGCATAAGCTATCCTAACCTAGCAGTAGGGACCATTGATCGGGGAACGGTAGTTCAAGTCTAAAGGCAGACACATTGTGCAAAAATAATGCCAAAAGGTTAGGCATATCTCCAGCTTTCCCTCCCACTACCCCTGCGAAGGCAAGACTAGCAATGGGAGAAACAAAGAATATGACTGTGAGCATTTGAAATTTTGCAAGTAGTTGAATAATTAAGATTTCTGGTGTAATTGACATGAATACTATTGATGAACTTGGTGTGAATTCTGAATAACTACATATGCAAAATCCAATATGCAACCAATTCAGAAATCAATTCTATACATCATGTTGACAACATTCTTGAAATGACATCATTTAAATAATATTATTACATAATCTTAATGTTAAAACTATAAATTCAGCACCTCAAAATCATTCATAAATTGAGCTTTTAGAATTTTTACTTTTAATCGAAAAGAAAAAGAATCTACCTGGACCACTCCGGAAGGAATTTTTAGTAGATTTTCGACGGGTTCATTGCGTAGACAATCGATCCATTCCGTATCAACTGCTTCCCACAGTCTATCCTGTCAATATTAGCCAAAGATTCATACATATATATAAGATTTATATACAAATATATATATATATATATAGATATATGCCGAAAGAGAGATAAAGTAAGGCAGGGAGGGTGTAAGAGCAAATGCCTTAAAGAAATTGACGACATGTGCTTGTAAGAAGAAGATATAAGGTCTGAGGAAGTCGATGATGGCATGAATCCATTCTAGGGTTTCTCTTGCAGTCTGGCATGAGTACTTCCGTTCGAAGCCAGCCATGGACGATCTTCTCTCGCCGACGACGGAGTCATCAACTACGGTCTATGGTGCGTACTTCTTACTTTTTCGTGAAGGGAATCGACCTGGCTGGGTTGGGCCCAGATTTCCCCAAAATGTAAAGCTCATTGAAATATATAGATTGAATGCCAATTGGGCTCGAATCCAATTCCCCATATTCGGCCCGTCCCGTTGTGTTAAGCTTGGAGTAGGGTTTTATTTTATTTTTTAATATCATAACAAGAAATACTCACACACCTTGAGCTTGAGCTTGTTATCCCATATCATTAGTTGCCCAGCTGACTCAATACCGGACCAGACTTTAACTTTTGATTGAGAAATAATTCATTAAATGGTGAATTATTTGGGTGGGTATGCTAATAATATGGCCAACTCACTCAATATCGAACCAGACTTGAATTTTTTACCTTTCAAAATATAAACTACGCATTCAACTTTTAAAGTGATGAGTATCATTTCCAAGCATATATTTTTATGCACAAAAATGAATTTAGAGGTAAAAAATTTTCTGAGAAGAGACCATTTTTGACAACAACTGGATAAAAAAAAAAAAAAAAAAAATTACCAAAGGGCTTTTGGCCAAATGGTATAATGTATGTATGTATTTGCTTTACCAAAAAAAAAAAAAAACAATTGAATGGGGGCAATAATGAGGTTTTTCTGTAATTTAAAGGGCAGTATAATACCCAAAAAAACAATCAGTTGCCTCCACTGGACCTTGAATATGTCGGTGCATGCACAGAAGCTAAGGTAAATTACTCTAATCCATACCTAAGGTTTCAGCTAATCACTATCAAATGAAAATTTTGAAAAAATACTTTGATACCACTTATTAGAGTTAGGAAGAAGTTTGACACGATCCCAAATTTTGGAGGTGTATTTAACATTTTTCTTTCTTTACTTTTTGACTTTAGCAAGAAAAAAGAAAAAAGAAAAAATATTGGGAAGAACCCTTATCTTCGTAAAGATTTCAACTTTCAACCATCTACTTTAGAAGGCAAGGCTTCACCTTCTATAAGCTTTAAGAGCATCACCATGTTAAAATGTATAATAATATTTTTTTTATTTTTTTATCTCCAACAATATATTAAAATATATTACAACATCATTAATGTGTAAAATTATTGTGTATTAGTATTTTGCACAATCTTTTTACACAACCACATCAACATGTTTTCTTTCTCTTCCTTCTTTCTCGTTCCATTTAACGAATCAACCTGTAAGTTTGTAAAAATTATGTGTGTCTTGAGCATTATACGTAATTTGTTGTTGACATATATATTTTTATATAAAAGGTATAAAATAATAACTGAAGTTAAAAATATTTATTACAATGACACATCAATTTTTTTTTTTTAAATATATATATATATATATATATACACACACACACACACTTCGAAGATGCTCTTAATGTTATTATACTTTATACTCTATATTTTGTATTAATTACCATGGTAAAAACCTCTCTATTTTTCAATTTATCATTGCCCGTTCATTTTTTGTTTCTAAGAAAATAAAATAAAATAATTTGTTCAAGTTATGTTACTTTTTTTTGTTTTATTTTTAAAAACATATTTGGTAATTTATATTTGTTATGCAGATTTTAAGAACATACTAATTAACAATATCACACCTCTACAGACTAGATGCTTATTTTTATAATGTATTAACTTAAGTTAGCAGTGAAAACTTATTATAGGAAAATTGAAAAGTTAAAAAATATCACAAATTCGCAATGTTGATTTTGAGCCACATGCTTAAAAAAAAAAAAATCAATAAAATAAAATATTGAGCTGTGGGGAAAAAAAATAATAATTGTGGCTGCTGGGATTCGAGCCCAGGTCTCCACGGCCACAACGTGGAATTCTAACCACTAAACTACAGCCACTTCGGTATTTTTGACAAGAATTTTTTTATATAGTAATGTAGCCCATATGGGGTATAGCAGACAAATAGGCAATTTTCCGGATTTTAAGAAACTAGTTGAAGCCATATCGTCGTTGTAAGATAAAAGAGGATGATCTAGCGGTGTCATTTTATTTTTTAAACTTGGGTAAAAAAAAAATTTTTTTGATGAAACCATTTTTAAAAAATGGTGACAATTTGAGCCCGACCTTCAATAAAAACACATTATGAATAAAGTTGGTGAATACGAATTGTGTAACAATTTAGATTGGGAATGAGTCTTCACATACGAGTTCAATTGGGTTCGCCAAGAAATGTTTCAACCTCATCATTTGACCTTCTCGTAATTTAAGCGGTGAAAAATAAAATCAACTTACGCACGAACGAATATTCAACATTTCACTTTGATATCATTACATGTTAGTGTTGATATACACTAATAAAATCGATTTATTAATTTACTGTAGTCAGTAAAATAAGCAGTTTTGAATCTACGTTGGATGGCTCAAACTTTAGGCAGCCAATAATATAAGTTGCATGATAAAATATATAGTATCACGTAGTTAGACGTTTAACGGTTTAAGCCCTTATTATATATTTCAATTTTCAGGAGTTTGGAGTAGAATACAAACTGCTTTATTTTACGAGCCATTCTGAAAATGGCACTCTCAAACAATATTATTGGTTGTTTTCACTTTCCAAATATGAAGTAGCTAAATGTTATTTTGTAAGATTTGTTTTTGAATATATATATATAAGCACTCCCATAATTCCCATGGGTATTAAATTGCTTTTATGATTTTATTATCAAGGCCACAGAAAATTACCCGTATTAGAACACACCTACGTGCAGCAAATTACTGATAACCAAAGACCAAACTTGAAATTATTAGAGCACAAGTACCAAACTGTCCTCAAGCAAAGATACTACTATGGTACTGCAACCAAATAGTTTACTTATTTTTAGGTGGTGGAGACAAGAAAGGAATGCTTGGGATGGTGCCAGAAGGCAACGGTGGCACTAATGAGAGGCTAGGCAGCGGAGATGATGCAGCCTGCATGGTGGCAAAGGCTGTTGCCGGTGGCTGCAAATTTGGTGCGGCCACCAACAGATGACAAGCACCTTGACACACGTCGTGGCTAGCAGTGGAGAGAGATGCAATAACAAAAATGTAAATGTAACTGCCGGTGGAAGCCATGGTTGTATGAATTGAGTGGCCGGATGAGTGGATTATGAGAGAGTGGTAGAGTTAAGTTTAATGGTGAAGGAAAAGAAATGGATTGAAGTGTATATATATATGTACAATATAGGGAGGGCTAGCCTTATGCTGATATATCATGTAACATGCATATGCTGATTGATGTTGGTTATACATGTTAGGCTGTGAGTTTTAGAGGACTTGAGGAAATTTGGATGTGATAGTTGATTGTTTTACGTATGCTCCAATATTTTTAGTTTATCATACTGTTTGGTTTAGTTTATTATATTGTTTGGTTCATTGACTCGATTGACAACACCACCCTAGCTTGATACGTCTACCTTCTTTTTAGGTTCATTAACAATATAGATTACATAACTTTTAGTTAGCAACTGCCAATACTTCCCTTATTTTTCGAAGATGGAGTAATTATACCATCATGCTAGAAGTCCTTTGATCATTGATATATTGAAAAAATTAATTGTCAATCGTATTTGGTTAATTGAATTTTGTCTAAAGGCCTAATTAAAGCTCTATCCAATAATGAAAAGGCTTCTAGTTTAATAGTATAATTTCTCCATTCTCAAATAAGAGGGAAGGAGTTCGAGTCGAGGATAAACAAAAATTTGTCTAAGTATTTATCTAACCTAAATTTTAGGGAGGCTCTAGTCCATATGATGGGTTAAACGGGATTTCATTTTCTTCTCTGTTGGGTTGCATGGTTCCAAAGGACTTCCTATGAGGCTTAAAGTTAAACGGGTTTTCAATTTCTATATATAAGATTTTTTATTTTTATTTTTTTGAAAGGTACGTTCTATAACAATTAGCACCTCAAATGACTCATATTGTCTACCAAGACATGTGATCCAGGGGTATTTCTCTTTTAGAGATAAATATGGTCTCAAATATTTTTTTAAATCCGGTATTCTCTAATGATGTTAAATGTTCAAAATAAATGCTCAGTAAATTGCAAAAGCGAAAAAAGACACTTGAACAATTGAAATTTGAGAATAATAAGAATTTCATAAATATTACTACAAAAATAGAAAAAGAGAACCTTTATGAGTTATATACAAAATGCACTAATTTGAGTCATGTAATTCTTTTTGTTTCACTGCTTTTTTAAAACGAAAAAACAAAAGAACATTATATATGGTTGCTATTGACCTTGCCACAATGAGATCCAGCTCGGGCTGGACCGATCCAAAATCTAAACCGAAGCCCAAAATCGATCTAAGGAAGCAGGCCTGATCTAAAGCCTGAAAACAGATTTCCGGCCATTTTATCAAGAACTCGAAATATATAAAGCCCAGGCCCACACAAATTAGGGTTTTCAAGTTCCGAAACCCTAGCTCTATAAATACTACCCCTTCAGCAAAAGCGAGATCTGGTTTTATCTGTTCGATTTCATACGCAGAGAGTGAGACACAAAGAAAGGAAAAAAGTTGAACCAAGATGAGAGCTAAGGTATGTTCTTAATTTCTTCTTAGCTTGTTTCTTTTAATTGTTGTATAAAATACATCGTTTGGTTTGTAGGAAAAGAAATTGTAGCGAAAGATAACCTGGAACAATAGAGTAGAAATATTTGCTAGTTTCAGCTTCATGCTTTGATTGGGATTTTCATCTTGAATTAATTTGTTTATGAAATTTATTCATTATTTTGTGAAGATTTAATTTGGTAAGACCTCTCCACGTTTGTATGTGGTTCAGTGATACGGTTTGTTGAAGTTCTACTGAACAATAATGTTTATATCTCTTCTATGGTTGATAAGGAATTGAATTTTACTATACCGAATAGGGTTTTGTCAGTTTATTTACTTTTATTTTGTTGTACACTTTTTATCGGTGAGAAATTTTATGTAAGTTAGAATCGAACTGTATGAAATCTAATTTCTAATATATTGTTTTTTTTTCTACCTGGAATAAATGCAATAATTTACGTTTACATTTGGCTGAAATGAACTGATTTGGGGATCAATTTATCGAATATATAGAATAAATGTATAGAATGCTTGGGTGCCGGAGTTGGATTAGAAAACCTAAGGGTGAGGTGGAGTAGAGGTAGGATTATATAAATTTATTTAAATTTAAATTTGAGTTGATGTTCCATAAATTATTGAATCCATGTCTACTCATTTCAAATCCTTAAATTCAAATACTGCATAATCATCTTGCTGATGCTGTTGTTTTTGCCCTATATCTCGATATATAAAGAAGAAAAAGGAGAAAAAATAATGAAAAATAAAATATGGTATTACTCTGTTAATATTCTTGGAGGTCAAAGTTGTAGCCAGAATAAGAGATTCTTGATAGATAAGGGTGGAACCTTCTCAACTAGTTGTTCTTACCTCTAATGTAATGGTTGTTTTATGCTCTCTGCAGTGGAAGAAGAAGCGCATGAGGAGGCTGAAGAGGAAGCGCCGAAAGATGAGACAAAGATCCAAGTAGGTTAAGCACGGGGACAAGAAGATGATTCCCTTTCATAGGCCTTCATCTTTTTAATCAGCTGCTGTAATGAGATTTGTGGCAGTTGTGATGAGTGGTGGTGACCTTGAAGGGGGATTTTAATCATACTGTCTACCGAGTTTCTACAAATTAAGCAAGTTTTAGGGTTAAATGTTTAGCCCTTTAGTCTCTTTTATAAGATTCTTAAGGGCCTTTGAATTTCTTGTTAGACATATGTTCTCTAATTTGAAGGCTGAGTGGGTTTTTTATGGATTAATGCATGGTTTGATCATTATGGATATATTTCTGCTTCCGAGTGCATTGTTTTTGCATGGATTTTGAATGCTTAGCTGAAAGAAATTCTATATTTTAGTTTGATGCATGTATTTCCTTGGGGCAATTTTGGAGACATGCTGCTTTTTCTTTATTTGAGAAGCCCCGGATCAAATTTTTTCTATTATGTTTTAGTACTCTTTTATGAGATCTCATTTCGGGAAGAGTTGTCCTTCTGAAGGGAGAAAGAAAATTCCCTCCTGTGAAGAGTTTATCCATTTCCATCCAGTTTGGGATATATTTTACAAAAAAGTTGGTATATTTGCTAAACATCAACTTTTTTGTAAGATGCATCCCAATCTGGATAGAACAGGTCCACTGGATTCGGGTCCCTGAAGGGAAGAGTTGGCTCATGTCAGTTCATTTTTGCAGTGTTGCAACATGCTTTGGTTGGGGGTGGTTTGGGTGGGGGGTTTAGAAAGATCTAAGTGAAAGATCTTAATAAATGCATTCAAGTAGTGAGAAGACATCTTACAGCAGCATATGGTGTGATAATGCAGGTGTTTGTCTATTAGCCAACTAATTTCATTTTGCTATTCATTGGTGAAAGGAATTCTCACTTATGAGAAAGTGATGGCTAGTTACCATTTTCTGTTGGGTGATATTTATATTGTGCTATGTATTGAGACAGAATTGCCAGAATTGCTCGGTCAATGTGGTAAATGATGTTGTTGTATTGTGGTTGGGTTCCAAATTTCATATTGGTAAAAGACTATCATAAGGACTTTTAGGTTCAAAGCACAAAACATTATGCTGAGCAGTTTTTTCAATTTTAGCTCAGCTAGAAACAGTGTAGTTTGATTTTTTTTTTTTTTTTTTTCCTCCTCTGCGTCTCCATGGAATCCATATTGGGATTCATGATATTCTCAAATATGATCACTCAAAAAAATATACCTCTACTCTTCGGAGCACATGATTTTATGCTATGGCTGGAGGAGTCATATAGTAAATGCAATAGTTTTAGGTATATGAAGCAATGATTAAATCTGGGTAGTGCTCACTCTGGGTTCACATGTTCTAGACTATGAAGCAACATAGCCAATCCTTTTTTTACCATTGCTTTTTATTCAATGAGTCGGAGTCAGCCACTCGTGTACTAAAAGTTGTTTCACTCTAAGAACAGTCGCTTTGTGCAAAATAATACGCTAGTATCTCTATTCAATATTTTCCTCACAAGAAAGATTTTAGTACACAGCTTATTTAGTCACCGCTCAGTTTCTGTTTTGGTTAATAGAGGAAGGAGATGATCGAATTTTTCTACTATCACTCCCTCTCGATGAAATATTTACAGAAACAACCAAGATCATGTTATTGTTTACTACTCTCTTCAATACTTGCACTGGAATATTAATGATCTTCGGTGGCTAGCAAAATTGATACCAAACATGGTCTGCAGTAAACTCTTTGAACCTTCTTTTTGTATTTATAGTGAAAGATCAAACTCGCAACATCAAGATAAATAAAACTAGAGACAATAATATTTAAACAACATGAAGTAGGAAACGAGTGTGTTTCATGATTCCAAAGAAGAGTAGCAACAAAATGATGCCACTTTACCACGAGAATGAACCTGTCCAATGTAAAACAACACATATGAGTCCTTTACACAATCAGCAAATTTAATTCACGAAACTATAAAGTAATAATTTGTAAGATCAAAGCAAATGTTAACAAGAACTTACCCAACATCACAAAATTGAACTTGTCCTTTTGCCACCTTCAGAATGTTGAGTATCCCCAAATCCTCCATTTGTACTCGATAGAATCATAACTGGACCAAGCTCTCGACCTGATAAGCCAAAATCTTGCTCCCATTGATGCAAGTCGTATGAATCACGAATCTGTGGTCCTATTTGGTTTCTCTATGTTTAGGTTATGTTTTTCTTTTGATTGCAAATGGTTTCTAAACCGATAACCCTTCAATGTCATATTGCATAACAAGCCTTTCCACTGTATTCCGACTCATGACTTGTCTCAACTGCAACTCCTTCAAAACTACTGCTGCCAGCTCCTTTTCTTCTTCGTGGAAAATCCCTTCTACTATGATGGTGTAAGTTGTCTCGTTAGGCACATGACCCTTCTCAATCATCATCTCAAAGATCTCCAAGGACAAATCTGTTCTTTGAGACTTGCAAAAGCCAAGTATAAGAGCATTATAATTATCAATATCAGGCCTGTAGTTATTTTCCTCCATTATCCTGAAAATTTCCATGGCCCCATCCAACATTCCCTCCATGCACAACCCTCTGATCAAAGAAGAATAGGTATATGAGTCGGGAGTAAATCCATACTTGGTCATTTCATATAATAGCTGAAATGCCGGGAATGTGTTCCCTTTCCTACACAAGCTTGAAATCACTCCTTTGTAAAAGTCATGCATCGAGGAGTTCTGTTTATTGCTCAAGCTTTGTATTAAGGAGAAAGCTTCTTGCACTTTCCCCTCCTTGCAAAGCACAGCAATGGCATTATACGTTCCCTCATTAGGATGACAGTGCCGGTAAATCATTTGGTCAAGACAACTAACAACAGCATCAATGTTCTTCTCTTTGCAGAGTTGAGCAATAATTGGGTTGTAGGTTGGAGTGGTGGGCTTGAAATCTCCATTCCACATTTCATCCAGCACCTCAAAAGCTTGATCAATTTGGCCATGATGTGCGAGTGATCCAATTAATATATTGTAGGTAACCATGGATGGGGAACAAGTTTCACCTACCATTTCAGCAAGAAGCTCATTCACCTCTTCCCAGCGTCCCTCATAACACAAGCTCCTCAACAAAATATTATAGCTCACAACATTTGGATCAAACCCCTTTGACGGCAAATTCCTAAAGAACCGGATGGCCTCATCAATTCTACCTTCCTTGCACATTCCGGTTAACAGAACATTGTAGCTAACCAAATTTGGCTTCCCACCTTTGGCAATTATCTCATCCAAGAGCCTCATCGCTTCATTTACTCCCCTTTCTTTATAAGCAGCTTCTAGCAAGAACGAGTAGGTGAACACATTCGGGACCAGCCCTTTTTGTATCAGTCTTTCCAAAAACTGTAAGCTCTGGTTCAAGTTTCCGCGCATACAAAGCCCCTTAACAAGAGAATTGTAAGTAACAGTATTGGTTGGATATCCAAATTCTTCCATTTTCTCAACTAATTGCATTGCATGCCCAACATTCCCCCTTTTACACAAATGGTTCACCAAGAAAGTATACGAGGCAGCATCCGGTATGCTACCGGAGCTAGCCATCATTTCCAAAACTCTAGTCGCTTTCCGGAGTTTATTCAACTTACAAAGATCATACAACAGCTGAGTTGCATGTGCAACATCAGGTCTATGGCCCTTCCCCACCATATATTCCAAATACAAAAATGCATCATTGAGTCTGAGATCCTTGGTTCTAGGGTCATTCTTGGCAGACCTCCAATTGGGTAGTGTGAAAATAGTGTCCTTTGGAGAAATGGTCATCTGGGTAGATGCCAAAACTCTAGAAAAACCCTTGTTGAGTGAAAATGAATGAAGATTTGGTATGTGGGAAAAGAACCCACAAGATTTTCTTGCATTTTCTGAACATGAGTTTGTTATAGGAGGCACAGAATTCAGTAGGGCAGCCATGAATTCAAGAAACTTGGATAGATCAGGGTAGAGTAACTAACTGTATGTACATATAGCAATGTTTTGTTTGATACAATATTTTTTAGCTCCTTTTCTATGTCATAAAATGATAAATCAAAATTCAAGATTCTGGGTCTCCACTAAATTGATTGAACAAGCACTAGATGGGATGTATATAATTCCAAACAAATAATAATAATAATAACACTCAATTTTATTTACTTTGAATATGCACAAATCTTCCACTCTAATGAATGAATCAATAATAAACTGAAAAGAGAAGAGAGGGAAGATGAAGAACATACACTGGGTTTCACTGATTCTTCACTTTCATGAAGAGAAAGATGGTGTCGTGGAGCAATAATCCCTCTATCTACTTACTATTATGGTTTCATTCCATTTTTATATATTGGGACATGGGCTCTTTTTTTCTAGTCCAGTCCCGTCCACAGCTTCTTCACTCGTTATCTATAAGATGGGGGATGAAGAATTTCACTCGCTATTGACGCGCGTAGAATTTTTTTTTTTTTTAAATTATATAAATAAATAAAATATATTTATATTATAAATATATAAAATTATATTTATATTATTATTATTATTATTAAGATAAATTACATTGACTTCCCCTAAAGTTTGGATAAATCTTATAAAAGTAAGCGTTTTAAGATTTATTATTTAACCTCCTTGAGGTTTGGGTGTATGCTCAACAACATTTTTCCTCCATCAAAACTTGTAAAAAAAAAATCATAAAATGACCAAATTGCCTTTATACTCATTTTTTAATATTAATTTACAAGATTTTTTTTAGGAGGGGTAACAGTGGTGGATAGGAGAGAGACAGTTATAAGAGAGATGAGATAGAATAATTGATTTTTTTAAAAAAAAATTTATAAAATATTTTGTATTCTAAAAATATACGTCATATAAGAGTATAATTGATTTTTTATAGTCTTAAGGGAGATCAGAGTAATAAACCTCAAACGCTTCATTATATGAGATTTATCCAAACCTCACAGGAGGTAAGTATAATTTACCTTATTATTATTATGCAAGGCGAAGGGATGTGACTTTTTCTGTGATATTATTATTTGGACAATACTTAAGTCCAGCGAGGATATTCACCCTCCTCACCACTTATGTGGACTAATAAAAAATAAACATGTTTTCTTTTATTACCAAATCATATATGATTGATGTTATTACTGCAGTTGCTGAGAAATAGCATATGCCATGGGTATATAATTAGGGTGGACATAGTTTGACATCATAATATTACACTAAATTAATCATGGAAAAATTATATTTTGGTGACCAAAATTAAACATCATTGGTTGAAGCGGCCATAAAGTTAAGAAAAGGTGAATAGTCACAAAACCTAAAACTTAATTACTAATAAGTGACCATTTGATGGATTATTATCTAAATGACCTTCCTATAATATATTATTATGTAATTAGATAAATTTACCATGTACATTAAGCTAAATAAACACCTACTTAAATTAACTAACAAAGAGAAGACACATTATTGGGGTGGGTCTCTGTAGAGAAGACAAGATGGCAGAGAACTGAGGAAAGATGTTCTACATCGTTTTCTTCAAGGTTCTAAAAGGCAGAACGAGAAAATTATAGGTATATTTACTATACTTTACAAGTTGATTTATTTGAGACATCTTCCTTAAGATAAAAGATTGTAATTTTTAGGAATTTTTTAATACATAGTTATTATAATTTACAAGTTGATTTGTTTTAGAAATCTTCCTTAAGATATAAGATAATCCACAACCCTAGTTTAACTAAATAGTCTTTCTATAGCCTTAATCATATCCTGTAACCGTGACCTTAGAATCATTCAATATATTAAAGCAACAAAGTGAGAAGGGACCCGTCTCTATAAATATTCTATAAAGAGCATTTTGGGATGAAACTTTTTTTTTTTTTTTTTGATCTTCCACTGTAAATATTATGTTTTGCAATCATGGTGGAGAGTCTTGGAAAAAGAGAGAAGGGTGGTAAAGAAACCCTAATTTTTTAAATTGGTAAACTGGAAACTAAAAAGGAAAAAAAGAAAACGTTGGATGAGAAAGAGAGAAAGAGTGTGTGAGGATGAATTCAATGATTTATTATTTGTATTGGATGTCAATTTTGTCATCTAAAATTTATTTTTAAAATGTTTATCAAATCTGTGTAAGTGTTTTTGACCAAATTATCATTGGTCACTACGTATCTTTTTTTGACTTTAAGGTCACTATAGAATAATTATGTATAATTTTGGTCACCAAAATATAATTTTCCCATTAATCATTGTGTCTTTTGTGAATTAGAAGTAATTTAAATATTTTTATTTAGGTTTCATTATAACTTTCTAAACTTGTGTTTTATAATTTACACTTTTATGATCTAGGGACTATTTAGTAATTTAGTTGAATTGAAACTTATTATTATTTTTTTATAGTATTTATTGTTTAATTGAGTATTAAAAAATTTAAATAATATAAGGATTTGATTTAATAAATAGGTCATTAAACGGATTACATTAAAAATAGTGTTTGAGTTTATTTATTTAGTAAAATACTATTAAGTCGACACAACGCAATTATAAAACTAAAATACTATTAAGTCGACACAACGCAATTATAACTCATGAACAGTGAACACGAATTGCCGCTTCTATAAGTAATGAGTATTAATTGTTTGTTAGTCGTTGTCGATCAAAAATAGATTTTTGCTTGTTGAAACCAAGTGAGTTCGGCAAAATTGTTCTAAAAATATTCAGTCCACCCGTTAATAATCAGCGGGATGGACCTGCAATGGGCTTAGTTGGGGCAATTGCCCATTTTGCCTACTAATTTTACTTTTTAAAATTATATACTTAAAGAAAATTTTGAGTTTATCCCCACTCATAATACCTAATACCCATTGGGGTAGCCACCGATCGAATTAGATATCAATCTTAATCTGATCCGCTCTCAACAGATTGGACAAATCTTAATCCACCACCGATCCGTGAGATGACGGATCGGATCTGCAGATTAGTGTTTTTCCTAAATTGTCTAATATTATTTATTTTTTTAACCATATCCCACTAGATAAAATTTTAATTTATCGACATTAATTCACATATTTAAATGATCATTAACTAATACATTCTTAGATATCATTAAATGATCATACTAATTAATTTAACTAATACTTTAATTGAATATATATACATATAAATCTCGCAAATCGGATCAAATCGGACTTACGGATCAGATCGGATTTTGACAGCCTAATTTGTGATCCGATTCGTAAATTGCCGATTTAATTTTTTTAAATTCATCACCGATTCATGAGTGTAGTAATCAAATCCGATTAAAAATCTTTTTAATTCACGAATTATTTGCCCATCTGAACTTCTCTTATTTTTGAAGTAATAGCTAGTCTGCCACCTATTGTTAATTCCTGGAGTCCAACGAGGAAATTAGAGTATCACTTCAATTTTGTCCCCCCACAACATTCTTTTGTTAACGGTAATTCCCTCCTATAGACATTTTAAGAATAAAAGTGAAGGTCACTTGTCGAGGTTTTGACGCAATTATAATCATCTCTCCCAACAACTTCTTATTTCTACATTCAATTTGTTTTTGGTTTTTTATTTACATTAATTACAATTATGTAGTACCATTTTAAAAAAAATAACCCATCAATAACATTTCTTCTCTTGGCATGATATCTTTTTATTTACAGTCCAATACAAAACTTTAAGGTTTGGGTGATGGTTTCTCAAGGAAACAAACACAAATTAATTTTATGAAATACATAAAATAGTTTTGGATTTAAAAAAGTATACATGGTCAATTTTAAGAAGAGCAATACTTTGGTTCTTTTAAGAATGAGTTAGGAACATATTAATACCCGTAAACAACAAGAGAGATGTCAGGATCACAATCTCTTCCTCCCAATTAATAGAAGGCGAACCTGTAGTAAATTTAAATATCAATGAGAAGTTAGGAAGTACAGAGGGATATGGATACGGTAATATGGTAAATTAAAAAATATATAAATAAAATACAAGTACCGCAAAGATAGATCAATTAAAAAATAATAAATTTTATTCATATATATATATATATATATATATATTAATTTTTAAAAAATATTATGAATTTAAATGTAATCATTAATATAATATAAAAGTTCATTTAACAATACATAAAATATTCATCCTTAATTATCACTTAATAAAATTTAAACAATTTTTAACAATTATGCTATGTTATTGTTAAAAATTTTGAATTTTAAAATAGTAATGTTTAAACCTGTTAAAAATGTGTTATGAAGTGTCGGATGCACAATCAAAATATCCAAAAAGTAAGATGTGTGTTAGAAATTTAAAAATATATTTTAAAATAATAGATAAATTTAAAAAATATCAAACATGTAATTCCTATAATAAAAGGGTTCTGAACTTGCTTAAATTGTCACTATGAAAACAAAATAAAAATTGTACTAAAGTTTTATTTAGTTTAGTTTTTTAAAAATTCAATTTAAAAAAATATCTATTTTCATTGAAGTGTCTTATTGGAAAACAATTTTTTATTTTTTGAATTATTAAACTAATCCAAGCAGAAAATATCTTGATTGTTATTCACATATTTATTCCTTCTTATTTTGAAGCTGGATATTTTTAAGAGGAGCGGTGCTACACTGCTTGACTGTAGTTCACGCGACATCTACGGACTCATCTACGTGGTTGTCCACGCTGCCATCTTCTCTCTCCGTCTTTTATGATGCCGATGACTTCCACAATAGTTTGTCGGTGAGCCGCTGGCGATGAGCCAGGAGTACTCCCTGATGAATGGTGATAGAGAGGTGCAGTTGTCCAACGGCATTCCAAGTCGTATTGCTCACCGTTGTGGAAGCTCTCTACATCGGTGCCGACCTTGTTTTCTCCACGAACGCCGGTGAGAGCTCGGAACTGAGCTTCGAAGAGGGTTCGCTGGTGAGAGCTCAGAACTGAGTTGAAGTAGGTTCGCTCCGAGTTGAATCAAAACCCATCAAAGAACAGATCGTTTAGGCATCGCCACGTCGACTTAGCTCTGGCCTCTGGGATCAACCCGTGTTGTCCTTTGGATGCAATGGTCGTCGTGAAGCTCGCCGGACCTATTCATAAAACTCACCGGAAATGGGTTTTCGTTTGGTCACCAATTAGGTCTGTAAGAGAATAAACAGAAAAGAATGACACTAGACCAACCAGACCCAACATTAATTAGAACGAAAAAACGAATCCGGTTAACGGCGAATCAGATGGTGAAACCGGTGAACGGCGTCGTCGGACTCATCTGGACCAATAACTGGCAAACGTGCCGGGCGGCGGTGGAGAGGTCGGCGTTGTCGGACTCATCTGGACTGTGAAGGAGAGATACGAAAGGCGCCGCAGGATAGAGAAGGGAAAAAGATAAGAGGACTGAAAGAGACGAGAGAGAGTAAAGTTGTCAGCCTACTTGTACCAATCTAGTTTTGACACGTGTCAAATAATAATGGAAACCATATTAAAGTTGTCGGCCTTATTTTTAGGTTTCATTTACTATTTTTGTTAGAAATTACCGGTCCATGACATAGACCGGTTTCAGTGCACCCATTAAAGAAGGGTAATAAATTTTCAATCACAATGTATATTAAATTTTCACATTATATCATTTCTTATATATAATTAAATTGAATATCCCTTATTATATATAAAATATTGTGTCTTCAATCATTACTATATATCAATTATTTTGATAGATATTTGTTAATTGCTATAATGATCAAAACTAATAATTTATTTGACTCCTAAAAACAAAAATAAGGGAAGGAATTTTCAAATTTTTTTGCAAAGTATTAAAAAATTGTTAAAAAGAAAAAAATATTGTAATTTTTGTTTTATATTTTGTACAAATCAAAATTTTATATTTGAATATCATGAAACTTGATTTGAAAATAAAAAAATAAAAAAGATGATACAACCATAAATGAAAAACTAAAAAGAAAAAGGAAATGGGTTATGAAAAACTGAAAAATAAGGAAAAAAAAAAAGAGAAATGTTTTACGGAAACAAAAAAGAGTAGTAATAATATCTATTTAGGTTTAGTTTTAGAATAACTATGTCATATTTTATCTTTATAATCCTTAATTAAAGTCGTTAATAATATTATTTTTCTATTTTTAAATACTTAAATGGTTCAAACAAAAATTTATTATCATGTAATGCAGATTCCTTTCTTTTTATAATGTTAAAAGTTAATAAATAAATAATTAACCTACTTTCTGCAAATAAAATTTTATACCAAGACGTGGGTTTTCTTCTTTAAAATAATAACATCGAGTAATGGTAATTACTAATGATAAGAATGGTTTAAATATCTACTTTTGTTAGATAGAAATAGCGAAAAAGAAAATTTACTTTAAAAAAAAAAACATTTTAAGAATTTAAATAGAAGGAAAAAGAAAAAAAATTGTGGGACTATAATTTTTTTACTTTTTCTTTCGGTAAGTATTGTAAGAAAGTAACTTTCCATAATTGACTAACTTTCCCACTTAATTTTCTTACCAAAAAAAAAAAAAAATCATTGATAAATTTTACTTTCTTAAGAAAAATATATGAAAATATATTTATACCCCATTTTTTATTTTCTAAAATAAAATGTGTTTGTTCATAACTTTTATCTCTCTCTAGGTGTCCTACACCTTTTTCTTTTTCTTTTTCTTTTTTATTATTTTATTTTATTTTATTTTATAAACAATAGTAATAATAAACTGTTTAAACTCTTTGCCATATTTAATAAAAAAAACAATTTAAAAATATTATCTAGTAATTTTCATACCATCTAAGAGACTTACTCTCTCACAATTAGGCTAGGATACGGGCTTTAGCAGCAATCCTTTGGCGTAAATCTGAACCTAAGCGCCATCTCTCATCTTTTCCATTCCCAACCAGGAGTATATCTATCTCTGTGTGTGTAATATACGCCTCCTTCACTCCTCTGCAAAACCTCAGGCGCCTCTCTTTCTCTCTCTGTGGCGATTTGTATCAGAGAAGCAGAGGAGATAATTATTATAAGAAGCAATTACTACCAGGGCCTAATTGACTGGCTATTTCATCTGAGTTAGTTGAAATTCAAGCAATTACACGACCAGAAGAAGTAATTGGCATATATATATATATATATATATATATATATATATATGTTATCATGAAGAGAGCCATGACGATGGTGAAGAAGAAGAAGAAGGCGGCAGAGATTAATACAAGAAATCAGGAGCCATGCGAAGAAGAAGCAGCAGCCATGCCTACATCGCCATACCTTACCCAACATCTTCTTGTTGAAATACTTTCAAAACTGCCGGTGAAGCCTCTGTTACGATTCAAGTGCGTTTCAAAGCGATGGCGCTCTCTGATCTCTGATCCCCACTTCATCAAGGCCCACCTTAATCAATCACTCAAAAATTTCAACATCCAAACACAGCGGATATTCATAGCCACTCCCAACTACCCTTTCCGTGTCTACACGGTGAGCTTCGGATCATCTGATCATGACGACATTGATGTTGAAGTATCAAATATTGATTTTTTATTTCAGAACATTAATAATCCTCATCCTAGGTGGCGTATCGTTGGTTCCTGCCATGGGTTGATATGCATGTTGGTAGATTTTGGAATGATACGTGTATTCAATCCGTCAACGAGGGAGTCGAAACAAATACGAGATTGCGATGATCCTCCTGGTAGCATAGTTGGGTTTGGGTTTGGGTATGACCAGTGTTCTGATGATTACATAGTGGTGAAAATAAACGGCAATGGCATGTATGTATATTCCCTGAGAAATTTTTCTTGTTGGAGAAAAGTTCATGACTTCACTAAGTACGATGTATTATCGAATGGGACGCAGCTGAATGGAGCCTTTCATTGGCTTTGTTTGGACAAGGATTCACACAAGCCATCAGAGATTGCTGTTTTTCGTTTCGAGGATGAGAAACTTTGGACCATTCCTTTGCCTGCCAGTTTTAATCATGCATTCGAACTAGGGGTGTTTGAAGGATGCCTTTGTATACCACCATGTGGTGGTGATGCATTCTGGGCTATGAGAGAATATGGGGTGAACCAGTCTTGGGCTAAACTCCACATTAAACTTCCATTTTTTGTTACCTTACAGCCATTGACTACCTTGAGGAATCATGAAGCTGTGTGTTTGACAGACTTCAGGAAGTTAGTTTTATACAACACAAGAGAGGGAACATCTAGGGACCTTGTCGTACATGTAGATGCGGATGTCCGGTTCTTTCGTGCAATCATCTACGTAGATAGTCTCGTATCACCGGTCATGGAAAAAAATGTGATAAAAGAGGAAAACACATTAAATTTAGGAGACTGATGTGCATGTATATAAAATAAAGAACGTTCAACTTTTATTCAAGTGATAGTGTGAAAAGTTAGTAGTGCCCATATTTTATTTTATATAAAAAAATTACAAAATAATATTTTACAAAATTTGGTCTATGCTCAAGTTTATCCACGAGGGAGGTAATTTACCCTTTCCTTTTTAATTGTAAAAGATGAAAGGTTCAAGTCTCCCTAAACAAGTAAAGATAGATTAAAACAAGTTATATAAGTGGTATACCCAACTAATGAAAATATTTTTTTTTATGAAATTAATCTCACACTAAAGTGGTATCACATTAAATTTAGGATGATTGATGTGCATATATATATATATAATAAAGCCTAGCTGTCTTTTATTAAAGTGGTGTGAAAATTTAGTAATGCCCCATATTATATTTTATTTTATATAAAGAAATAATAAAATTATCATTTTATAAAATTTGATCCTTATAAAAGATGGAGGGTCCAAGTCTCCCTAAACAAGCATAGAAAGCATAGATAAATTCAGTTGGAGTATGTTATATTATTGGTATGTACAACTAATGAAAATATTTTATTTTATGAAATTAATCCCATTTATTTATATTTAATTTACTCATAAATGAAGTACTTAGAACATGTCCAGCGGTCCTTTTGTGTAAAATATACACGGTCTTCAGCAGTCAATTAAGATATTTTTACGTCACCAATGTCTAAAATTATTGTATATTTTACCCAATCTTTTTACACAACTACATTAACATATATTTCATTAACAAATCAACCAAAAATATGCATAACAATTAAGAATGTTGTTCATAATATGTAAAGAGGTAATACGTGTGAAACATGGCTAGGGACATATATATCCCTAATATTCTTTGTCATATAGAAAATTACATGGTTAAATGTATTGGGATTTATATGCCCTGGCATAGCAAATTCCTGTTTGGATTAAAGTGACACATGTTCCTGACGTTTCTAAATTTTGTACAATTCGTGAATCTAATATATTATGTTTCGATTCATTATAAAATTGATATGTCCTCTTGATTACAAAAAATATTTATATATGTATGTGATGGCGATCAATACATGAATATAAATAGTAATCATAAATTATTCATAGTCGGTAATTATGGATGGAATCATAATTAATTAAGACTTGAACTGGATCCGCGTTAGGTTGAGATATATTGCGAGAGCCGTCGTATGCAATTGCTCCCTATCACCGTCATGGCATTTGACTCTTAAGCATGAGAAAAGTATAGACTCTTTTATTAATTAATAATTACTTTGATTTGTTCGGCGGATTCTTCGGGATCCTTAGACCGACACTTTGGGTAATTATGTAATTAATAGTTAGAGGGTTATATTTTCAATATTTGCATCATTACTACTTGTATTTATTTTGTATTGATTATGCTTGATCACAAAGTAAATTCGAAGGCCTTCGTGTGTTTTTAGACAAAATGATTTATTATATATTTATTTATTTAAATTATTATTTTTGTCAAACAAATGTTTTATTGTGATCGAGTCAGAAATAATCAAAGGTACCAAAATAAATATATTAATTAAGTAGTCGGATTGATGGCTTTATTTATCCGATAACTAATTATGCATAGTGGGGTCGAAATGTAATATTGATTTAGATGTTATTTATTATTTAATTGGAATTCAATTAATTTCTTTTAGTGGAGTAGAAATTAATTTATGAATTAATTGAATTGGGTCCATGGACCGGGCCAATTATTAATTCATTGTAACCAATAAAATAATAGGCCCAATGGATTCTCACTCATAGCCCAACTTGATATTGGAATCATATTAGATTTGAGACATATGAATTAGAGATTGAGAAGGATTTGTTATTTCCTTTTCTTTATCTTTATGTTGCCTATAAATATACATGGTATATATTATTTTTGGGGTGATTTTTAAAAGAAGGGAAAAAAGAATTTATTTTCTCTCTCTAAAAAAATTAGGGTTTATGTTCTCATCTAATGGAGGCTCCTACAAGCCTAGTTTTCCAAGATCATTCATGGAGGCTTATGAGTGATTCCTAAAGGCAAAACAATTACCAAGAAGATGGAGATCCAAGAAGAAGACATCTTGCTAAAGGATCTACAATAAGTGAGAACATTCACTTTAGAGGAAAGATTTAAAGGTTTACTCAGACATTTGATGTAAGTATTCAATCTAGTTTCATTGAATGAGACATCATATTTTATTTTTGCATAAAACTTGTCTCTATGTGATGAATCAAAATCCCTCAAAAAGTTTTTAAAACTAGCACGTTTCCCAATAGTGGTATTAGAGCATGGTTTGATTCATTGCTAGAGATCATGATTTTATCAAAATTCATCATTCATGAATCCAATTTTGATATACATATATTTATTTATTGATATATGTTGATGTATGAATTAATATATTTATATATATTGATACATGATGATGTATGTATAATTGTGAATGGATGATGATGTGTTTGGGCCATGGATGAAGCTTATAGGATAATTGAATGTAATTTTACCTTTGGATGAATGTAATTAAGGCTTTGATTTAGCCGTTTGAAAGTTTAATGATGTAATTTAATTTTTTTCATTGTATTTCAAATTGTAAATATTTTTAAAGCCATGTAATCTTTATCAAAGGATGCTATGAAGCTTCAAGAAGGTTCAAAAAGGTTAAATTAGGCTTCAGGAATTTTCTGGAATTTTTTGGAATTTTTCTAGAATTTTTGGGGCTTAATTTATAGTTTCTGGAATTTTTAAATGATTTTCTGGAAAAATTAGCGATTTTCCGGCGACCGGAGTCTCGCCGACGGCGAGAAGAGGCATCAGAAGAGGCTGGTATCAAGTGCATCTCACCAAGGGTGAGCCTGGCGTGTGAGGAGCACGCGCCAGGAGATGGAGGCCTTGAGGAGATGCTGGCGCGTGAGATGCACACGCCAGCACATAGCATATGTTCTCCACGCGCGTGAAAGCGCGTGGAGGTACTTCCATTGGTGTGCCACAACGCTCCCCAGGCGCGTGCCAGTGCGTGGGGGGCGCGTGGGAGCGCGTGCCTTGACCTGCAAGCTTCCCTAGGCACGTGGGAGCACGTGTGGGGTCCTTCGAGCTTGTTCCAAGCAACGTTTTGCTTCTCCTAACGCGTACAAGCTTCCTATGGATGTTTACAGACTGTTAAAGGACGCCCGTACAGCAAGAATAGTATTTAAATGTTAAAAGCTGAATCTATTTGCCATTTAATTTGCTTTTGTCTGTTATTTATTGATGTATGTGATGCATGAGATAGATAATTGTTGATTAATTATTATTCATGCATTGGATCCATGATATTTAATTAAATGACTTGATTTATATTAATTAAATTATGAAAATTAATTGGATTTAAATACTAGTTAATTTGAGGGCACTTATTGGGAAACGAAAAATTATTTTTGTAAATTATTTTTGAAGTATGCTTCAAATTAAATATTAGTGAATCGTTTAAAGTCGAAATATTTTCTAAATTTAATTGGATTAAAATCAAGACGTTTTGCATACATTATATCATGTAAATGAATAAAATAAAAAAATCCTAATTATGAATGATTAAAAATTGAGTGGGAGCGGAGATTTTTATACATTACCCCATGGCCTTCGTTATTAAAACCATTGTAATTAGATCTTAAAAAATAAGGCCCCACGCATGATTTGAAGAGTCTTAATATTACAAGAATGGTTGTCTCATGAAAATAATAATATTAAATGTTCATTGTAATTAGATCTTTAAAAATAAGACCCTACGTATGATTTAAATAGTCTAGATTATAACGACAAGATATTTAATATTTTATTTTTCATTAGAACTTTAATAATGTTATACACTCAATCTAAAATCAATAGTGTTAGCTCCCCAACGGAGTAATCTACACTAGGTGATTTTAGAAAGGCTAAACATAATCGGGAATCATTTCATATAGATAGACAAGGCATTGTCTTAAGAGATATGGAGATGATGGGATTTGCCCGCCAATAGTAATAATGAACTTCGCCAACCGAATAAGTTATTGGCGCATTGGTTATCCGATTTTTCATGCAGTGGTTAAGGGACCCACATACTATTTTAATGGAAGTGCTTGCCTAATAGTAAATGAATCTCAACAATAGTAATAATGAACTCCTCCAACAGGATAAGTTATTGACATATTGATTGGTTGATTTATTATGCTACAGAGTTGAGGGACCCGCATTAATTAAAAGGGATTGTTCACCAATAATGATAATGATCTCTTGTTCGATTGAGATTTATTATATTATGTAGTTAACAAACTCATTTTAATTTTAAATATGTATGACAGTATTAATAATTCACCTTGCATATTGTATGAATGCATTTATATTCAGATTAATTATGTCTAATCCAGTTTATCTGCTTGCTTACATATTCAATGTAACTGGATCTCATTAATATTGACTGGGAAAGGAACTTAGATATTTTATTCACAACGTAAGGGTACAAAGGTATTTACTACTCCTAAACCTAATCTTTTTACTTTAAGATACCCAAGAGAACATTAATGCTTTGAATAAGTGAAATAAGGCAACTGATATGACTTGGTGTAATATTCTAGAGTTTACTTCGAATACGTTCCAAAGCTAACATTTACATTATTTTATTTTCTTCAAGCATCATGTTGAATGTCAATAAGATGTTTTGGTGAGATTAGATAGAGAGTATGTCAAAGTACTATGTCTGACTTGAATATCATCAAGATAGTCTAATGAACTCCAGTAAGAAATCGAATTTTGGAAAATGATTGTTTATTATTTAAAAATTAGCTGGAGATCAATAGGGCTGACTTGGGTGGTAAGTTTCAAGTTGACATGATTATTGCCTTGTTACCAAACTCATTCGACTCTATTAGAGTGAATTAAATAAGGAATCAGTTTGAGTTCACACTCGCTGATATTCTTATAGAATTGGTAACAGATGAAGGGATAATCAAGAGTATGGGCATTC